GCCAGGAGCTACTCGTAGCGTCCTTGCTCCTAGTAGCGATGCCCTTGTTCCTAGTAGTTTTTTCTTACTAGTAGTGTGAGGCATAGGCATAGGCGTTGTCACCAAGAGTCGCTCTAGTCTAGTCCGTGTCCATAGTTGGTTAAACAAGTTCTTCAATGGACAGACACTTGTTTCGAAGGACATGGCAGGGTGACGCCTATGGCACTCTGAAGAACAGCCTGCTGCCATCCCTCGGAGCACAACGTTCTGGGGCTATCATTCCTGGAGAGGTCTCCAGGGAAGTGTGTGGAAGCATAGACGCTTTGAAGGCTCACATGGCAAGGCTGCAGTCGGATTTGTCCGCTCACTTCAATGTGTTGGAACAAGACATTTTGCAGTCCTTGCGTGGAAGCATCGAGTATGAGAGACTCGTGTTGCAAAAAGGACCTGTTGGAGATGGAAATCAGGCCTTGGTTGAGCCTTACTTTCGACGTTTGCACTTGTCAGCTGATGCTGCACAACGACTTGGTTACAGTGAGGAGGTTGTTGCTCACAATGGATGGGTAATGGATTGGCCGGCCACTGAAGATTTTGCCGCCCCTTCCTGGAGAATGGTTTACCTTAGGCGACATCTCTGTGTTTGGACAGACACCGTGAAGTTGCGATACGGCGAGAGTGAAGTTGATGCGCCCTTCCTTTGGCAGCACATGACGGACTATGCCGTTGGTATGGCCAAAATCTTCCATGCAATTCGATTGGATAACGCGCATTCAACTCCACTGCATGTGAGTCGGCACGTGCTCGCAAGGGTCCGTGAGGTCAATCCCCACTGTTGGGTGTTTGCGGAGTTATTCACAGGGAATTTTGAGACAGACTTGTTATACCAAAGAACTCTGGGAATCAACGCTCTCATTCGAGAGGCAATGCAATGTGACAGCCCAGCGGATTTGGGGCACAAACTCCAAAGTCCGATTTGGAACGGCCACCCAGTTGGAGCTTTATCTCCTATCCCGACCCTTGATCGGGTTCCGCCAGCGCAAACCTCGCAGCAGAAGCATTTGAGCAAGTGCCCATCACGAACTCTGCTGGCCGCTCCTGCACGTGATGCGGTGCCTTTGTTACCACGACACTGTCCTGCACTTCTGTTCGATTGCACACACGACAATCAGACTCCAGCACAGAAAAGGCATCCAAGAGATGCCCTTCCAAATGCCGCTGTGGTCGCCGCAAGCTGTGCCAGTGCTGGTAGTGTCCGTGGCTACGATGAGCTCTTCCCAACCAACCCTTCAGTAGTGTCAGAGCGCAGAGGATACCCCAAAGCGCCAGAAGTTGAGGTGCTGAAATTGGGTGGTTTTGGATCACCGGCAGCTGCACCAGCTCAGACTCAGACTCAGCCTCAGATTGAGAAGGAAAAGGAGTTCACGATAACCTGGCACAGCAAGGCCTCCAAAGTTGTGGCACGTGGAGCTTGGGATGGGTGGGGTGCCAATCTCAACTTTATCAAGAACCAAGATGGTCTTTGGTCCGCCGTATTGAAGGTAGAGACCAGCAGACTTCCCTTGCAGTACAAGTTCATTGTGGATGATCAATGGACTGTCAATGAGCAGTTGCCCCTCGCCCAGGATGAACATGGGAACCGGAACAATGTGCTCAGTGCGGCAGGCATTCCATCAGCTCCACCACCCAGTGGCAGCACTTCAATGTCTGGACCTGATGCATTGATCAACAAGTTGCCAGGAATTCTCACTGTCAAACAGGTGCTAAACAAACTTCATTGGCAGCTGGGAAAGGATGGTTACACGGAGATACACGTGCAATTCCTCGCAGATGACACTCTTGCCATAGAACGCCGTTCGCCAGACAACTCACATTCTGTGTGGTTTGTCATCCGTTCAGCATTCTGGCGGGATCGCATGGGTGATGGTCTGGATGCAAAGGTGTTGGAATTGGATGGCATGGTTTCACACCTGCATATTGCAGCCACGCTTTTCGTCGGAGACCAGCATGAAAATGGCTTTCGCAAGGACAACAACTTTGTCACGGGCCTTGAGTGCTTCCTACACATCTATGGTTCCGTGCAAGAAGTTGCCCATGTTTGGACAGAAGGTGGCAATTCCAAGTTGCGTCTCACCCGCTTTCCGCCGGGCAGTGTTATGGTGCTGAGTACAGATGCAACAAAGGCGCACCAAAGGCATTCTGCTGTCCTACAGCTATTGGACGCCCAAGAGATTTGCAGGCCGCTGGAAGCCATAGCTTTGCACCAATTGAACTATCTCCTCTACTCCTGTGAGTCCGAAGAAAGGGATCGTTCAAATGGCCAACGAGGTGCCTATGTTGTTCCAGGTTCGGGGCCACTGGCCTACTGTGGATTGATGGGTGTGTGTGCTGCTTTGGATGAGGCCCGACGCAGCTTTACCGAGGATCAGCTTTTGCACGCACCCATTGCCGAGAATCTGCGACAAGGTGATTGGCTGATGAAGTGTTTGGTTGATCGCCTTGCGGACATGCCTGGCCTGGAAAATGTCAAAGCTTGGCTTCAACGAGCAGCAAATATTTTGTCTGACTGTCCCAGGACTCTGGCACCCTTCTACTTTGACCTTCTAGTGCCGGGGCTGTGTGCTGCGGCCAGCAATTACTTCTTGGAGAGCTCCTCGGAGTTCATCGCGATTGCAAGCTACCAATCGGACTTGATCAGAGACCTGGCTTTGGCCACAGTTCAGTTTTGGGGAGCCACCAAGTCAGCGCCCTTACATTGGGATCGTGCTCAGACAGAGGGTTGGCACAAGCTCCCATCCCTTTGCGCTGGCCTTCCGCACTTCTCTGCTGGATTCATGCGGAATTGGGGGCGAGACACTTTCATTTCGCTCCGTGGCTGTCTTCTTGTCACTGGGCGTTTCCAAGAAGCTCGTGACACACTGTTGGTGTATGCCAATGTCATCAGGCATGGCTTGTGTCCCAACTTGCTAGATGCAGCCAACCGACCCCGCTACAACGCTCGAGATGCGACTTGGTTTTTTATGCAAGCCATCCAAGATTATGTCGCAGAATCTCCAGAAGGAGAAGAGTTTCTGGCGCAGCCAGTGAACTTGAAGTGGCCGGTGAAAGACTGGGATGGGGAGTTGGCGGAGTTGGAGCCCAAGAACATCGCTGATCTGATGCATTTGATTTTCTCAGCTCATGCCAAGGGAATCAGCTTCCGAGAGTGGGGTGCTGGTCGTGGCCCTGAGGCAGGGAAAGGTACCTCAGCTTTGAGATTGGAGATATTGATATTGAATTGAACTGCAGGCACCAAGTCAAGTCTTAAAGCGGAATGGCAGACGAAAGAGAAAGAGAGAGAGAGAGAGGAGAAACGGACAGCAGAGAGAGACTGTATGTAAGTATATATGTATACCGATGCTACCCACCTCCCCCAGGACCTACCTTTGCAGTGTGTTTAACCAAATGTGACACGTGTAAACCCTTATGCACATTTTCTCCAAACCTGCCTACAGTATATAGATAGCAATTCCGGCCAAAAATGACAGAAGTTTGAGGATCCGTTTGTCGGAAAATTTCCAGAACCTTTTCTATCATTCAAGGCCATTTTTCTGTTTACCATTCTCATCCTTGAGAAGACTTTGACAGTATACAAACCCGTTCATATTTGCATACATATAAGCAAGATCTTCCGTTAAGGAAGGTCCTTAATAAGTCTTCGCAGAAGGTTGCTTCATTGTAAGGATGACACCTTCCAAAGTTCTTGTCTAAGAAATCCATTTTCTGCAAAGGCTTCTTCTACAATCAACAAACTGTCCCAGAAGGGAAACACCACTGTTTAAGCAAAACGGTGACTAAAATTACGCCACCGTAGACCCCAAACAGTTTGTGTTTTTCAAAATCGAAACTAGAGCTGGGAGATAAATGTAAAGGATTGCAAGGCAGAGACGGACACAGCAGTACAGAGCGGGGGGACACATCTTAAGAAAGAAGTGAGAAGCCCTAACAGTAAACCTTTTGGGGAATTATTCTTCAAGCGCGAACATGATGCTGGTCATGCTGCTCAGTCAGCGGGGAGCTGACCACGTGAGGACAAGAAACAAAAGCATGAGGAGCGAAGGATGTGAAATTGATTTTTGGTGCCTGACATATGCCCTCCGCCCCAACTGAATAGAGAGATCGCTGCCACACCGCCGAAATCCAATCCGGTCATTCATCCAACGGTTGCCCGAGAAGGAAAACAAAGCTGAGAGAGTTACACAGTGCGGCAGGAATGCGATCCCGGAGACAGTCACGCACCCCTTGCAAAGGAGCAAGAACCTTTCACAGGCGAACCTGTTCCAGCGGACAGGGCAGAAAACAGCAGTGCAGGCACCAAACCTGAAAGACAAAAAGAAAGAAATCACATGGGAGACAAATGAATAGAAATGCTACATGGCCAGCGGAAAAGGGCGGCAGCACCAGTGACAGACCCGGGAAACAAATTAATAGAAATGCTGCATGCCCAGCGGAAAAGGGCGGATACCAACAGTGACAGACCTGGGAGACTAATGAATAGAAATGCTGCACGAAAAGGGCGGACACCAGCAGTGACAGACCTGGGAGACAAAACACTGGCAGTGACAGACCTGGGAGACAAATGAATAGAAATGCTACATGGCCAACGGAAAAGGGCGGACACCAACAGTGACAGACCTGGGAGACAAATGAATAGAAACAGCGGAAAAGGGCGGACACCACCAGTGACAAGCCTGGGGGACAAATGAATAGAAATGCTGCATGGCCAGCGGAAAAGGGCGGAAATTAGCAGTGACAAAGACAAATGAATAGAAATGCTACATGGCACCAGCAGTGACGGACCCGGGAGACAAATGAAGCATTTCTGGGAGATAAATGAAAAGAACCGGGAGACAAATGAAAGCAAGTGTAGGGCGGGAACCCGACCACAAGCACCCAGCCTGGGAGACAAATGAAAAGAAGTTGGTGACAAATGAAAAGAAGTGGGAGACAAATAAGAGGAAGTGGGAGACAAGCCGGCCGGGAACCCGACCAGCAGAAAAGAAGTGGGAGACAAATGAAAGGAAGTGGGAGACAAGCTGGCCGGAAACCCGACCACAAGCACCCAGCCTGGGAGACAAATGAAAAGAAGTGGGAGACAAATGAAAGGAAGTGGGAGACAAGCCGGCCCGGAACCCGACCACAAGCACCCAGCCTGGGAGACAATGAAAAGAAGTGGGAGACAAATGAAAGGAAGTGGCCTGAAAGACAATGAAAAGAATTGGGATGCAAATGAAAGGAAGTGGGAGACAAGCCAGCCGGGAACCCCGACTGAAAAGAACTGGGAGACAAAGGAAGTGGGAGACAAGCCGGCTGGGAACCCGACCAGACCATCCAGCACCAAGGCGACCATTCTTTAAAGCATTGAGAACCCCTAACAGTAAACTGTTTGGGGAATGAAAAGAAGTGGGAGACAAATGAAAAGAACTGGGAGACAAATGAAAGAAGTGGGAGACAAATGAAAGCACGTGGGAGACAAGCCAGCCGCAAACCCGACCACAAGCACCCAGGGAGACAAATGAAAAGAAGTGGGAGACATATGAAAGGAAGTGGGAGACAAGCCAGCCGGAAACCCGACCACAAGCACCCAGCCTGGGAGACAAATGATAAGAAGTGGGAGACAAATGAAAAGAAGTGGGAGACAAATGAAAGGAAGTGGGAGACAAATGAAAGGAAGTGGGAGACAAGCCAGCCGCAAACCCGCGACCACAAGCACCCAGCCTGGGAGACAATGAAAAGAACTGGGAGACAAATGAAAAGAAGTGGGAAAGGAAGTGGGAGACAAGCCGGCCGGGAACCCGACCACAAGCACCGAGCCTGGGAGACAAATGAAAGGAAAGGAGACAAGTGAAAAGAAGTAGGAGACAAATGAAAGGAAGTGCGAGACAAGCCAGCCGGGAACCCGACCACAAGCAGCCAGCCTGGGAGACCAAAAATGAAAAGAACTGGGAGACAAATGAAAA